CAAGGGATCGTTTCCAACGCTTTTCGAGATCAAGAGACGCCAGCCCTAATAACAGACAGGGAAACGAGAACTAACCAGTATGGAGGGGCGAATGCTGGTTAGTAATGACGAAGCCCCCAGGGTTGTTAACATAAAATCATTGGGCAGTCATTATAGAGGATTAACATTCGAAGGACAAATTAATGGAGAATTGAAAACTATCACTTTTGATACGGGTGCTGAAGTTTCCATAATTAAAAGAACATTAGTCAAGTCTCGGGCAATCCAACCGCTCACTAGAAACCTGTCACTACGAACAGTCACCGGCGAATCTGCACCAGTTCAAGGAGAAGCTATGGTTGAGCTCACTTTTGGATCTACCACCTTCAGGCACAAAACATTAGTCGCCGATATAGGAGATGATTTTATTTTGGGAATGGATTTGATCGGCCAACATGGGTTCTCTTTTGACCCTTCCATGAACATCCTTAAATTTGGTAATGAAGAAATTGTCCTAACAACACAAGAAGAATCCGATGACGTTAAGATCTTGGCCACAACCCCAGTGAGGATTCCTGGAAGTACTGAGAAGATCATTTGCGGAAGATTAGAAACAAACCCTGGGTGCTGCGTTGGGCTAACACGTAATTTCATTGGAGATAAACCAGGAAGGTTTCTTGTTGGAAAGACTCTAGTAAGAACAAATGGAGACATTATGATAAGAATTGCCAATGTTTCTTCCGAAACAGTACGAATAAAAGAAGGAGACATTATTGGAGCTCTCGAACCAGTGAAGCAAATATCGAACTGTGACCTACCAGATAAGCGACACTTTGTAAAATCCAAATTGGATACAGACACCTTGATGCAGACTTTGGCGAAATCATGGAAACATCTTGATCCAGATAGACTTCAAGAAGCCACAGACTTCATTTTGAAAGAAGCAGACGTATTTGTGATGGACAATCAAACCGGCCGAACCAGCTTAATTCAACACAAAATTGATACTGGATTGGCCCACCCAATTAGACAACCACCACGACGTATGCCAGTAGCGAAGCAACAGGAAGTGGAAAACCAAATTGATAAAATGCTTCAAGAGGGAATCATTGAAGAGTCAAATAGTCCATGGTCCGCGCCAGTAGTATTGGTTACGAAGAAAGATGGGAGTCTTAGATTTTGTGTGGACTACCGAAAGCTTAATGACGTCACCAAGAAGGACAGCTTCCCTCTCCCAAGAATAGACGATACACTAACAACTCTATCGGGCTCCAAATGGTTTTCCACCTTGGATCTCAAAAATGGATACTGGCACGTGGCAATACATGACGATGACAAAGAGAAAACTGCCTTCAGTACCGGAAGCGGGCTATACCAGTTTAATGTAATGCCTTTCGGATTGTGTAATGCTCCAGCTACGTTTGAGCGACTGATGCATCTTGTTTTGCGAGGTCTTACATGGAGAACTTGCCTGGTATATTTGGATGATGTCATGATTATGGGAAATTCGTTCCAAGAACATCTCAATAACCTGAAAGAAGTTTTTGACCGCTTCCGGAATGCCAACTTGAAACTCAATCCAAATAAGTGTTTCCTATTTCAAAAGAAAGTGGAATTCTTAGGTCACGTGGTATCTGAAGAGGGCATACAAGTTATGGAAGGAAAAATAGATGCTGTCAGGGACTGGCCAAAACCACGCGACAAACATGAACTAAGGAGTTTTCTAGGATTATGTTCTTATTATCGAAGATTTGTGGAAGGATTCGCCAATATAGCTGCTCCACTTCATCGATTAACAGAAGAAAAATCAACATTCAATTGGACCCAAGAATGCGATTCCGCATTTAGAAGATTGAAAGGAGCATTATGTACGAGCCCAGTGTTGTCCTATCCTGATCACAAAGGCATGTTGATTTTGGACACAGATGCAAGTAACACCAGTGTTGGAGCTGTCCTTTCACAAATCCAAAATTCACAAGAACATGTCGTGGAGTACTACAGCAGAACATTATCAAAGCCAGAACGAAATTATTGTGTCACCAGAAGAGAGTTGCTTGCCATAGTAAAAGCAGTCGACCATTTTCATAAGTATCTCTACGGACGCAAGTTTCTAATTCGAACAGATCACGCAGCTCTAAAATGGCTTTTAGAAATGAAAACTCCTGAAGGACAGCTTGCTAGATGGATTGAGAAATTGCAGCAATACGATTTCCAAATTAAACATCGCCCTGGAAACCTGCATAAAAATGCTGACGCTCTGTCTAGACGGCCATGTAAAGAAGATTGCAAACATTGTCAAAGAATCGATATACATGAGAAAAACACTAGTCCAGCTGTAAGAAGAACGGGCCTGATCGTCGATGACAAATGGACTACCAAGCAAATGAGAGAAGATCAGGAGGCAGACCAGGACATCGGGCAAATTCTACATCTTAAAGAAAATGATGAATGTAGGCCAGAATGGGGGGAAGTGTCAAACAAAAGCTTGATTTACAAGGCGTTGTGGGCCCAGTGGAACTCTCTGGCCGTAGAAAATGGTTTGCTCAAAAGAGTTTGGGAAAGTGCCGATGGGAAATCCACTAAGAGCCAACTGGTAATCCCAAAAGACCGAGTGGAAGATGTATTAAAAGAAATACACGACGGAACCTCAGGGGCACATTTCGGAGTTAACAAGACTTTGGACAAAATTCGGGAACGTTTTTACTGGGTTCACTACCATGAAGACGTTAAAAGCTGGTGCCGAAAATGCGACATCTGTGCTACCAGTAAAGGCCCTAAACTAAGATCTCGAGGGCCCATGAAACAGTACAACGTTGGTCTTCCATTTGAGAGAATAGCGATAGATGTAGCAGGACGGTTCCCAGAGTCAGAGCGTGGTAACAAATACATCTTAGTTATCATGGATTACTTCAGTAAATGGCCAGAAGTTTTCGCTATTCCCAATCAAGAAGCCATCACTGTTGCCCAGGTGCTAGTGGACGAAGTTTTTAGTCGTCATGGTGTGCCACTAGAGTTACATTCAGACCAGGGACGAAACTTCGAATCTGCTATCTTTAAGAAAGTTTGTGAGATCATGGGCATTCGTAAGACAAGGACAACACCTTTACACCCTCAATCTGATGGCATGGTGGAACGATTCAATAAGACCATAGAGGAACACCTGACAAAAGTGGTCGCAAAGAACCAACGAGATTGGGACAAGCATTTGCCTCTATTTTTAATGGCTTACAGAGCGGCTGTTCACGATTCAACAGGTGAAAGTCCGGCTAGAATTGTTTTTGGAAGGGAACTCAGGTTACCTTGCGATCTGATGTTTGGAGTACCCGAAGAAGAACGAAGAGAAATCCGAGATTATGCCGACGAAGTAAGGACACGACTTCTGGGTATCCATGATTTTGCTCGGGAGCATATTCAACTAGCCAGTGACCGAATGAAGACCAGATACGACTTGAAGGCCAATTCGGTCGGATTTCAAGAAGGTGATTTAGTGTGGTTATATAACCCAGTAAGGAAGAAAGGAGTATCACCGAAATTGTCTTCAGCATGGGAAGGACCCTATAGAGTAATCAAGAGGATCAATGATTTGGTTTATCGAGTCCAGCGCAACACCAGGAGTAAGATGAAAGTTGTACATCTGGACAGGTTGGCGAAATATCATGGGCGAGAAGTTGATCGGGACGATCAACCTTAAGAGGAGGGCAGTGTCACAATAAGCTAAACGTCCGCCAGGCTGTCATGAATCTCTCGGTATTATCTCTTGAGTATACTAGAATCTAGTGAATTATTCTACTTAATTCGGGAAAATAATATTATCGTGTATTCTAGATTTTACAGGAATAGATTTAGGGATATATAAGAAGGCCGGCATTGGTTTGTAGTTAGTTTCAGTTCGAGTGTGATACGATTTAAATAGTGATTGTAAAGAGTTGAATTGTTGAGTTTGTTATTAAAGTAATTAGTGTCAGAGTGTTTTGTTAAGTGGAATAAATTATTGCTGTGTTAATTGGACTTTGATTTTTGGAATAAACGAAACGAACAACGAACCCAAGAATTTTGTCAGCAGGCAACCCAAAGCCGCGACAATATTAACTTAGACATCTGGATTTATTATAATATTTCACCTTGTATATTAATGAATAAAATTTGAACAATATACTGTTTATAAAAAAAAAATCTCTAAAGCTTAAATGGTATAATTTTTCTTTCTTCAATAAGAAACCTTGAAAGGGATTTTCATGTTTTTCCCTATAACTATTAAAGATAGACATATCAAACCGTATATCGTTGAAATCAGGTTGAAAGGGACTAACAAAAGGGCGCACAATATACAGCGTGTTCCATTTGAAAAAATATAACTTCACACTGCTGCACTTTTTTGACGCATCCTGTATGCCTAAAACTGACTTAGTTAAAAACTTTCGATAATTTCTTGAAACTTTTGTATTTGACACTTTTGTCAAAAATGTCGAAAGCGTTCCTGAGGCGGAATTCTGTAATGGATAGAGATCGTTATCGATATCGCTATGGCACTTGCTGTCTTCTTCTCTCTTTTTGAAATCAATAGAAAGGGACTTCAATAGAGATAGCGAAAATATCGCCATTCGTTAGTCGTTACAGAATCCCAACCCTGAACCTTTTAAACAAATGACACAAAGAGGTTTCGACATTTTCGTACGTTCTTACTATTCAAGAATAACGTATAGAATAAAGTGGTGACTGGCTAGTGCAAAAAAAGTGGGTGGGGGGTAATGGTGTGTTCTATGGGTTGAGCCAAGACGAACTACAGTGACTCAATATACCATAGTGAATGGTTCTCTGAAATTTTATATATTCATATTGCAAATGAGGACGAATATGGCGGCGGGGACGTAGGGTTTCTAGATTCTGATTGAAAATTAGCAAGAGTACGGCGGCGGGACCTCTATTGTCACTTTTCTACTGTAGGTAGATTTTTTCCAACATTCATGCCTGTTCTCATGCGCAGCTGGCAAGTTTTGCCCCCCACCACAGGAAGTTGACACATTTTTTTTTTCATGGAATCATCATAAAAATAAAATGTCAAATTTCCAGCTTTGCTAAAAAGGCCCGATTTTTTTTTTACTAGTTTCGGGGTCTCTTACTACCCTTTCGCCACGGAGGTGTGCCAGCTGACAGTAGGGTTACTTATTTATTAAATAAAAGCTACCGTACAGAATGAAAAAAAATTATGCTGAAATGACCCATGAAACTTTGACGCCAGCCCCCTGGCTATTATAGTTTCAGAAATAAAATCGCGTTAAGCAATTTGGTGTGATTTTTCGATTATTCATTCTTGTCGATCTTCCACTCCATCCTCGAATTTTTTTTTGGCCTGAAAAATAAATAGAAATGAAAGAATTTGGGAAAATGAATAAGTAGACTTTTCTCAATTTTCTTTATTTCTTCTCTTCCACTCCTACAACAATTTCTGCAATATTCGTCTTGTAAAAATGCTTGTTGCCCCCTCCAGACATAAAAATACTGATAAACCCAATGGCGAAAACAATAACAGCCGAGAACAAACAAAACGGTATATAAAGTGGAAATTGGCCGATTAAAACCTGGAAAATTTTGGTTATACTCAGCCCTAATAAAGAAAACATTACAATATAAAATTTTGTCATGAACACCCTACAATTTTGGGGAAACCAATCGTTTATTAATGTAAATGGAATGCTTCCTAAGCTTGTCGTATATACAATAATAAACAAGTACATCACTATCACAGAAGTGTAACTAAAATATTTTTCGTTAACTTTAAAATATATCACAAGAATGTTTAAAATGAATAATAATAAAATACTAAAGCTAGAAACAAGTAACACAGTTTTCTTATTATATTTTGGACTTATGTAGCAACCTACTAAATTCGATAGAAAAAATAATACTGCATATCCTAAAGCTATATATTCTGGATAAGGAACATTTGATCGGCTAAAGATAATTTGAGTGTACACCAATGTAGGAGGAGCACCACAATATTGTTGGCATATTACAATAAATGTAAATTTTATAAAATTAACCCTAAGTGAATTATCCCTCATGATTTTCATAAAACCAAAATCATTTACAGGTTTTACATTAGAATCTGTTTCCCTTATTTTATCAATCTCTTGATCAGGATTCGAATCAGGCTTTAAAAATACCAAAAGTTTTTTGGCATCCCGAATTTTTTTCGCTTGTATCAGCTCCCTTGGAGTTGACGGTAAAAATATGGCTAAAAACAAAATAAACGTTGCCAGGATTAAGCTCGTTAAAGCAAACAGCCTAAAACTTATAAAAGGCCCAACAGCGAAAGCCAATACAAATCCAAACAAAGCATAGAATTGCGTTTGCTTTACTAGCGAAGCAGATAAAGCATCTTCAGTCATTTCGATAATATATCGTTTTATTTGGCCCATGGCATAGCCATGTCCAGATCCCATCAAAAACCTACTAGCCAAAAGCCAGTACATATTTTGACTTTGCCACATAAGTACCCAGCCTAATACTATGCAAAGGTTTCCGAAAATTATACCATTTTTTGGTCCTTGAGCTATGGAGCTTGTCGAAAAAAGCGTCCCAAAACACACTCCTAGTAAGAGGAAACCTGCTATCATTGCACTTTGGTCCAGGGTGATCGGAACTGGAGAATCTTCGGCGAATATTAGTGTTGGGTAGGTTGGTGAGGGCCATCCGAGCATCAAACCAAATGGGATACATGTCAGCGAAGCTAAAAATAATTGTTTGTTATTGAGAAAATTTTTGCGAATGCCGTTTGGTCTTAAAAACGCTCCTGCGACTTTTCAAAATCTTAAATGTTGAATTTGTTGTGTAAAAATATTGATTGCATATTTGTTTGAAAACTTATAAGTGTTTTATCGAACTGTTTTGTTTATATTTTATGTAACTATTTGATAACGTAGGTACACATACATAATCATAAAATAGTGTATGTAAACAACAATTGAATACTATTTAAATATTGACGTTAAGTAGTTCAAGCGTCTATTAATTTTTGTTTGGTAAATTAAAACCCAAACAAAAAAGGATTAACAGATTTTTAGGAGGTACTTATACCTAGGTAGTCAAAAATATCTTAAAATTTTTGTAAATTATGATTAATTAATTTATGCCTGAGTAGATATGAATATTGTCCAATAAAAAGGTATATAAAGCTACTAACTAACATTAAATCTAATTATTATTACTGTAGCGTAGCAATTTAGTTTCTAATAAATAGGACATAGTTGGATTTTTCCTAAAGTTCTATATGATCAAGTTAGACCATGAAAAATCTTACATTTACTAAAATAATTGAAATTGCATCGTAATTACGATGTTGATCATTTCTAACGAATCACATTTGAATAATTTGTACATTGCTGTAACTTCATAATTCCAAGTAAATGAACCATAATTATAGATTAGTATATGGCAATTATGATTTTACCAGTGTTTTGTCACGTTCTAATAAAAAATTTTGCCAATAAATGTTTGTATTTATTTTGCTAAAAAAATCAGTACTTAGATTGGGTGCAATAGTTTAAAAATTTTATGTTTGATTTAAATTCTAAATATATTTCAAACGTAGTCTATAATTAGACCCCCAAAATGTCAAGCGTTTGTGTACCACAATAATGTTTTAAATAACTTTAAAAAAAAATACATAATTACAATCACGCGGTCTTATGAAATACATAGTTTATCAAGTAAATATACAAATTAAATGAAGATGATTATGTATGTTATCATTCCAAAAATATATATAAGCAAAATGATAACTTACCGCACGCAGAAGGAAAAATTTGCCAAATTTTGTTCTTGATACTAGTGCCAATTTTGGAAGTCTCCGTTTCTTCCAACATTGTCGGCTCTGCTTGCTTATCAAAAAAGTAAGTGAGCTCCAGATTGCCATTATGTATTTGGGGTTTTTGCATTTCACTCAAAACCAAATATTTGTCTTCTTTATTGGGCCTTCTAAAAATGTTTATTATATTGTTACTGAGCACATTGTCTTACTATATAATCGTTGACGATTTTTTTTTTCGTGTACATACATAAGAACACGTGCTTTTTATTTATTGCTGCGGCTTCTTTATTCAAATATTAATGTTCTTGTGATGGTACAAATTTAATGAATAAATAATTGAGCGTACTGCCATCATTTTAATAAAAAAAAAAAAACGGTTTGCGTGATGACGAAACTGGATTTAATTGATCGAGATGGTTATACTTAATTGAAACTTGTATTTCAATCATGTGACTTAATTATACTTACAGGGATTTTTTTAACAGCAAATGAAAAATGTATATGCCTATATGATGAAAAAAAAAAAGGAGAAAGTATATTTTTGACCGACTTATTTGAACTTTGATATATGTATTCAAATTCATCAGACATAAAAAATTGAATTTTCACCTTAGGTACCCTAACACAATATGTACAGCTAAAATGAATGGTAAAACAGTGTAACTATTAAGTTGCAGCCCTCATAGTACAGGAACCCAAAGGAAGTGGTGTTTAAACAGCAATAATAACTTAAAATTTGACCACAACACAATAAAGCACGTATGTAGATATAATGATTTATGACTTATGAAACAATGCCTATACATATTTTGAATAATTTACTTACACTTTTTACTACTATAATAAAAGGTACTTCGATGTTTGAGTGTTGAACAAAAATACTGATAAAAAAAAGTAGGTAGGTACTCACTGTTGGATAAGACACGATTCTACTCAATCAAGTGACATGGTAATCTACAATAAGCGTGATTATGTGTTAATCTAAAAAATCAAGTTGAAATATCGAATACAATCCCAGACACTTATGGTGTATGATGATTAACCGTATTACGCAAGCACAAACTATACTTCTAAAACCTTTTTTATCAACTAAATATATTACACATTAAATTTTTTTGCATGTAAGTAACTGCAATTTTTATTTATCGTTGGTTGATAGGTATGGAATGTTAATTGTTTGAAAAAAATAATGGTCAAACAGAAAGTATAAGGAGTCTGAAAAGTCGAAATAAGGAAAGATTAAGAAAAGCTGGAAAAGAAAAGACGAGATACACAACAAAAAGATCTAGTCTGTCGAACTAGGAGGTCATGATTCAACAGGATTTCTTTTTGAATTGTATACATTTCCAATCTAATTAATGGATTAACAATAGAGGGCTCTAATGCCAAAGGTTATTGCCATAAGACAATGTCGCCATTCAAATTTCGCTCTGCTAAAAATAACGAGTCAATTATAGCATTTCGCAAATATTTCAGCCTTAATTCTGTCTTTAGAAGTTCAAGGAATTTGAAATAAATTTTTTATTTGTTTTAACGTTATGTAGGTACCTATTGCCCTTTTCAATGTTTCATTACTTATTTTGCTACTTCAAAAGGACCATTATTTATTTATAATAATAAATAAAATAATCTCTGTTATAGATGATAAGGTAATATATTTACTTACCACAATATTTGTAGATACAATAAATTAAATAGAAAAGTGATTTTGATTTGAACAATTACTTAGACTTCGAGTGCGAATGGGAATTTTAATGATAATAATCAAAAACAATTGGACACAATTATTTGTGCTAATAAATAATTGGTCAAGAATTATTGTAAAATTAAAAATTATGACTGATTGATTGATTAATTAGGCCTTTTCTTATGTTAAATTGATATCAATCACAATTAAAAAGAAAAATTCCAAAGAAAAATTAAATGTCAAGGCTATGTATATAATCATCAATAAGTATATAAAAATTTATAAATATTTCAAGTGTACACATAAATAATAAAAACTTTGGATATATGTACCTTTTCTCCACGTCATCTGAGTTATTTTTGCGGAAGCGGAAGTGCCAGTGGCGGCTCGTATATTAAAAATGTGGGGGTTGCAATTTCGATTGTACAATCATGCATGTTTTTCGTGAAGGTCCAGGATAAATGTCCTGGTGAAAGTCCTTTTTTTGCTAGTTACAGTTTGTTCAATTTTTAAATTTGGAGTAGGCCTTCAAAGTCTTTTCATTCCAGCCTTATCGGTTGATGAACGCCTCGCCCACAGAATGGCTCGGCAATTTAATTTTGAACAGAATTCTTTTTTTTTTTTTCACCCCCCACACGACAAAACTTCACAAAACAAACCTAACCTGCGCTGCGAGCAAAAAAAATAAACAAAGTTTGCACTTAGCTTGCAACCTGCTGGAGCTTATGGAGCGGATTTCGAATCCACGCAAAGACAGGCAACCAAATGTGCGCCGTCATATAATAGATCGGTTTGCTTTGGAGCTGCAATCCAGCGACTCGACGCCGCTACTTGAAGTCGCCGGCGGCCTGTCAGTTATTGATATTTTGGCGAAGTTGGTCAAATTATTTTATTAATTGACTGCGTACAAGGACGTATTTAAGGGAGGGGTTTTGGGGGTTCAAACCCCCCCCCCATTGAACTGGATATTTTTTTTTTTTTTTTAAGAAAAATAAACGTTTTTGAGCGTGGAACCCGAAAAAATTTTCCGCCTTCGGCGAAATCCTCCGGCGGCTATGCCAGGTTATATAGCTATATGCATTGTTTGGTCTAAGCCTAAAATTGGAACCCTTTCCAGCATAGACCACGAGCCGCCACTGCTCTAAAACCCCCCCATGTAAATGCTATAGCTACGTCGTTGACTGCGTATTATGGTATTATATACAATGGTATTATGTAGGTCCCAAATTTTGGTATAATTTATTTTTTAAATATAATTAGGTACTAAAATTTAGTTCTACTATTTTTGTTTTATGTTTTTTAAGTTTTGTTTTGGGGGTTGCGCAAACCTGCAAACCTAAGGAAGAGCCGCCACTGGGAAGTGCTGATACCCTCAAACTAAATTTGGTAATTGGTGTAGGTACATCGTTAAAAATAGACAATATTTTTGATGAATGAGACTGAAAAGCCACCTTCACTAACTGAACTGCTCAATTAAGTACCTACACCACGTTTCTTTTTAGTTTAAAGAAACCGGATTGTTTGAAGCAAAGCCTTATAAGTAGGTAGGCATATAGCAAAGAGAAGACCTCTTCTGTGCCTAAAGGCATCATTATTCATTATTGATTCAAAATAAATTCTGCTGTTTAAACTTTGAATTAGTTATTTTTCACAAACGTGTAGCTTTTCATAATCAAAGACTAATAAAAAAGGCAGAATTAACAATTAGGCCGAGGTTACCAAATTTCTTAATTTTTGTTCTTAATTCAATCCTTAAAAACACCAATGCTTAAATAAATTGAGCTTTTTAAAAATTAAGAATGGGACAAATTTAAGGAATTGTGTAACTTCGGCCTTAGTTTCATTAAAATTGTGATTTAAAGTCCATTTTTTTTTTAAAAGATAAAAGTCAAAATGACATTATGTTGCCAATATAATGTAAAATTGTCAATGCTTTCAAATTTTTTGTGTAGAAAAGTCTTGTGTTGCCAACATAGTTACTAGATTTTTACTTGGGGAATTATCTTTAAAAAAAAAACACACTTTATCAATTTTTCAATTTTTCTGAGGTGCCTTTTTTCATAGATTCCGGTTCCAAATCTCAGAATAATTTAGTGTATGGTATTTGCTGGATATGATACGAATTCTCAACAAAAAAATTTGGGAAATTTCATCATTTCAGTACTGAACTAGCTATCTTATAATTTAGATTCTGGAAAACATTGAAAGGTCATAACTTTTTTTCTAATATAGATAGAAAAGCTAAAATTTGCAGTGATTTTTATTCCAGTAGAGGACTACAGTCCCTGGAAATTTCAGGTCATTTGGACTTAGTTCCAGAAATATGTATCGTGTAGATTTTAGGGTAAGTAATTTGGGGTGGTTTATCAATTTTTCAATTGTTTTGAGTGCCCTTTTTCATAGAATACGGCTCCAAATCTCAGAATTATTTAGCATATGGAATTTGAAGGATCCCAAAGGACCATTGGTATACAAATTTTCAATAAAGGACCCCGCACACCTCTTATGGGATTTCTGACCGCGGTCAAATTTAACCAAATTTCAGTATGTTATAGATCTCATCTTTCTGAGCAATAACTACCATAGGCACAACTTAATCCTATGACTAGCTTTTGAGATACAGGTAGTTTAATGTCCAAGAAATGCACACATTATATCGTCGCTGATCTCACATAGTGGCGTAAGCGACATTTCCTAAATTTTACAAGAGATCGAATTTAATAAATTTACTTTTGATATGTTGCATGTTAATCCAAAAATAATTGGATAGTATATTAATTCATATTCTATGTAAGTACACTGAGGGGTATAGATAAAAACTATAATAGTCAAATCGGTAGACCTTGATTCTAATGTCTCAAAAAAGGCATTAAATGGACATACGCCTTTCTGCCAGATTCTTATTGGATCGATATGTTAGATACGCCTTGGATGGTAATATGCACTAATGACAATCGGTAGCGACTAATCGTTGTTATTTGAAGAAAATTAAAGGAAACTAGTGTTTTAAATCAACGAGAAATATTTTAATTAAAACTAAACACACTAAACAACATATTTTAAACGAATGAATTTTTCTGAACTGGAACGAAATTAGCACTAATTATTATTATGAGGAAGATCCCTGAAAATTTTTTGGAAAAGTTCATTTCGCACAACGGGCGTTTGTCCTCCACAAAGTTGAACTAGGTCATTGTATTTTTTTGCATCCAATTTTATGGAACCATTATTAAGTTTTAATAAAGGTTGGTTCATCACTCCCAAAGCGTTTCTTTTTAAAGAGATAGTATAGTATTTTTCGGCAAGATGACTGTTTTTTACAAAAAGACGCGTATTTTGATGTTTTTTAACCATAACTTCTTTGACCTTTGTCCAGTCAACATCTTCACTAGAGTCAAATTTTCTTATTGAACGAATTCTAACTTTTTCAGCCAGGGCCTTGTAGTTATAGAAATCATCACTACTCATTGTGATTACGTTATAGGGCATCGCTCTTCTGGCTAGTTTTAAAATAGGGGGCAGTATAAAAATATCTCCTGCTAAAGATATGGCATGAGAAATTGAGTTGTGCGCAGAATCGCCCTCGCTCTGACCATGATTTGTTTCAAAGTAACTTTAGAACAATTTTTTCCATATTTTTTGCATTTGTAATTACGTATAGCATCATAACTAAAACAATAGTGTTGCGGTTTTGGCCGCTACAGCCATCTGCAAATAACCTGACTTCCTTGATCCCCCGATTGTCTAGCTCATTCAGATATCTTGCTACACATGTTGATATTTCGCTAGCCCCTCGCTTACTTATAGTTTCATCCCAAAAGAAACAATAGCATTCTTTATTTCCGATATTGTAAATCGTGAAGTTGATTGAAGAGAGGCGGCGACGAAAAAATAAGGCACTCTCTTTACTTTTTGGAAGCTGTATGACTTGTTGTAGGTCAAATACAGCAGCAGCCAGAACGCTAGGATTTAACTTTGATGTTTCCTTGGCTTCTTCTTTTTTCCTGCGAACAGATATCTTTTCAGCAGTATGATTATTATAAGCATCCTCGAGTTCCAGTTTCCTTTTTTCATCAGCTTGCCTGTATGACAAGCACAAAGTACATTGATCCTTCTTAGGATGATGAAAGGAAAGATTTAGAGATTTAAAAGTCCGTCGATATGTATGATAACTACAATGTGGTTGGTTGCCATTATCGTTTTGGTAAAAATAGTACATTTTTTTCACAGTCAAATCAGGGTGTAAGTACTCTCGTGAAGAGGACTGCCTACAAAAATGTGACTCCATTCTAAGAAACTTCTGAATGTGTTCTAATGCTGAAGCTCTCATTTTTGCATCGTTTTCTTTCAACATTTCATGTCGTCTTCCTTGTCTATCGGGCTCTACTATCCCTTCTTCTGTTCTTTTAGGTAAAGCCGTACGCATTGTCTTTTCTGAAATTCCCAAAGTGTTTAAAAACATTATTTTACAAACTACGGACATTCCGTCACTTTTAGGAAGGTGGTATTCAAATGTCTTCGACCTACGTGAAACTTCTTTGTCTGTCCTTTTCCGCTTGCTAGCTTTGATCTGTACGTGTCGTATAATAAACTCCCTTTGTTGCTGTAAGCTCTTTGTACCATAAAAAGCGTTGAATATTTTCTGCCTTTGGACATCACTAATGCTGCACACTACTCTTGCATTTTTCACTAGTACAACGAGGTTTCATCCCTTTAGCTAAAACAGCCTTTCCAGAGGTGCTACTGACATAAGCTTCTCCCGCTATTCTTTTGTCATGTGCGATCTTCCTTTTATTGCCCTTTCAAATCAAAGGATACTTCCCTTTGTTCTCCATTCACAGCATATCTTCTGCGAATCTCTAGGTTAGTTTTCATACCTTTAGAAAGCAAAATTGGCGGTATATTTTCCTCATTTTCAGAAGAAACGCTGTCAACATGTTCAGTACAGGTTTCGTTGTTGATAAAATGTTCCCAACAAAGCAACTCAGAACATCTTTCACATGCTGCCCATATTTCATCTCTACAGTTTCTAAATGCACAGCTCGCTCTGTAGGTGGGGTCATGATCGCTGTTAGTAGATTTATATTGCTCAGGTTCTCTTTGAATACAATTTTCTGAAAACTTTGTGCAAACTGAAGAAGTTGTTTGAGGGTTTTTTAGTGGAACATTTTGGAGACATTTACTGCCAGTCTCGCTAATTGGCTTCAAAACAGTTGTAACTGGCTCAGCAACACTAAAAGCACTCTTCCTTTTTCTTGTTGTCATTATCCGTTATTTTTTTTGCACTTCTCGAATTTTCCGATAACTTTCTATAAACTGATGAAGCTCTTTTGATGTTTTGTTTTAAAATACTGAGAGGCAAATTGTCATCTTCAAACTCAAAAACTCATACTTTTTTTCTATTATACGTATAATATGTATGTATATGTATAATATACATAGATAGAAAGCTGAAATTTTCATCGATTGTAATTCCAGTAGAGGACTACAATCCCTGACAATTTCGGTTCATTTTGACTCACAGCTCCAGAAATAAAATCGTGGTAAGCAATTTGGGGTGATTCATCAATTTTTCAATGTTTCTGAGTGCCTTATTTTTTCATAGAATACAGCTCTAAATCTCAGAATAATTTAGCGTATGGAGTTTGCGGGGGTCCCAAAAGACCATATCAAGATACAAAATATCAACAAATATATTTTTTGCTACCTTTATGATTCAGATTTTGGAAAACTTTGAAAGGTCATAACTATTATATGTTTATATTGTTGAAGGTTGTAGAAAGTAACGATTTTGTTGCCTTTGAACAATAGGTACCTACATTTTATATTGAATCTAGCTGAGATCGTAAGGAAATATTTCCTTATAAATTTCACAGTCTTCTTCATCCCTAGCCACTCCATTAATATATTTTCCTGAACATTGGCCTGTTCTGACAGTTTTTGAATATCTTCAATGAGTCCAATAGTCAATTTTTATCATGTCAAGGAGAAAAGAGTAATCTACACTAAACTGCTATCAATTTTCATGTAATTTCAATAAGATATCAGAAATCAAACTTTTTATTCTAGAGTCCAGAAGTACCTAATCGCAAAAAAACCTCTCAATTTCTAGATATTTTTTACAAGTTTCAGAAGTCAGCGTTTTTATGAAACAGCCATTCAAGTGACGCAATTTGTATCTATGAATTTCTGTATAATTTTAACAAGAATCAGCGTTTTGTTTGGTACCTACAGGAAAAAACAAGTACCTACCTATTTCAGTGAGGCAACCAATCTTTAACTAATATTTTCAAGAAGATTGAATAAAAACCATCACTTTCTGGTGACAATGTGAGTTGTCCAAAGTCTGCAATCAGGAGCCTAAGACTTTGCCTAAAAGGTCTTTTAGATTTTTATAGATTCATGGGAGTCTTTGAGGTTTCTAGAATTTGTACAGTTTTATAGGTCTTCATCTTCATTGAGTCTTTCGAATCCATATAGCTCTAATAAATAAAGACTTTAAAAGCTTCATTCTTCAGGGTGCAGCTTAAAGTCTTAAGCTTCAAGAAATCTCTTTATAGAAATCTTTAGATCCATCAGAATCTAAAGAATGTTTAGAGTCTTAGACTACACACTACACTATAAAGCCTTTAAATTCTTGGACGACTTGTAATGCTTTAGTCTCAAGTCCTAATAGGATTCTTATCCTTTTCCAATTGAATTTCTACTCTACCAGATTCAGAAATCTTCTTTCATGTAAAATGCCCTGTCTTAACTTCAATTCTAGAATAGTCAGAAGAGTATTTCATACATAAAATAAATCAAAGCACATTCATCTTTTGACAGATGATTAATACTTTCTTTATCAGCATCGTGTCCATTTTTTTTTTCAAAATCGCTACGGTTTTTGGGCACTTTATGGTCTTCACTCCCTGTACCGTTATTTTAATTTGGCAACTTGGAATGGAATGTAGAATGTGGTATATTTTTGACTTTTATATGGTGATCTTTTAATCCTTAGGAATTAAAAGTACTACTTTCACGCGAATTTGTTGCGTTTCTTTTCTTCCTGAGTGCTAAAAATAGAGTTTGAAATGCGGTACCAACGTGTACCTATATATTATGCTGTATTACAGAACGGAAAAAACAAAACAACGAAAATTGGATAAAGATCCACTTTAGTCCCAAGGTAGGTATAGAAAATAGTATTTTTTATTTGTTTTCTGTGTTTAATCGAAATTTATAGTTAAACTGTTTATTTAAAAATCTAAAATTTCTTACTACCCAAACCCAAGGTGTGATATCCTTGACATATTGGCGAGGCGAGGGTACGTAAAGATATTCATAGAGCACCCTTGCCAAATTGTCAAGAACTGCATCATTGTTTAAATGAAATACAAATCGTATATTACAAGCAACAAATTAAAAAACAATAATATAATTTTAATTTATTTATAACAATATTATTATAAAGTATCACAAATTATGCTTCTTGTTTCTTTTTCTCCTCTTCTAGCTCCAGCGCCTTAATCCTCTCACTTATCCTTTTCTTGGACTCTCTAGCTTTTCTCTGATTTTCCGCCCTTCTGGCCAGCCTTTCGCTCTTCAAACAATCGGCCATGGCATCGTAATGGGAATTGCAATACCCCACCATTACCTTGAAGAAATTGTCCTTACGGCATTGCCTCCAAAGTTCCACCATTTGATTGCATTTATCCGTGTGAAGATGAGGCGATAAATCTGTGTGTGTCATTTTTTGATTTTTACCTTTTTTGAAGTTTGTGCCAAAATGACAATAATAAATTTCACGTCACTGTTACATAAGTAAATTCGATTTGTTTGTTTGAAAAATTATATAAAATTAAACTTATTACATATTTTATATTTATTTATTTACCCTTGCTCATTTCTTGGCACTTGGCACTGATGACAGTAGGATTCAAAGAAACTACTTGCCTTCAGGCTTCAAATGAAAACTTATAAACTTGGCAACGTCGCTATAGGCCTATATAAAATGAAAAACGTATACTTTTGTTGCGTTAATTTGAAGCAATTCTAATCCAATTTAAACAATTTTAATTCAACATGAAATAATGTTATTTAACCTCTAGAATGCAGGCTTTAAGGCCGCATTAATGGCCGCCATGTTTAAATTTAGTTTTTGAAAATGAAAACTGCGCCACTCTACACATACGGTTCAATATTTTATTTTTTGTCCAAAACAAAATCTGTTTGTCGGTGAAACATTTAGTGAAAGTGAAAGACAAATATACAATTATGATGCTCCCAATGTAGCTTTTTTGCCGTGGCGCCATCTACTTGAAATTGCTTGAACTGTTTTCACCTTCAAAATTCGTTTTAAGGTCATCTCAAAAAATCCGCAATAATTTCCAAAATCCTTTGGCATAAACATTATTTGATATATTATCTACAATCTCTACAATTAGCCTTTTTCAGTTTTTCGTGGTTATCAATAAAATATGCTTTTCACGAATCCAAGCTTGATAAACATGCAAATATGCAACCACCAACACATTTAGTTGTTTTGGTGGTTGCGAACATGATTTTTAAATTTAAAAAAAAAGGCTGAATATCGGAAAACCAAAATAAGGAATTGTAGATAATCAATCAAATAATGTTTATGCCAAATTTGAGCCAATTCTGATGTGCCGTTTTTTTAAAGACCTTAAAACAAGTTTCGAAAAATCAACCAATCAGAGCACTGCATTCTTATCGTTGTTGCGGCCTTAATAAACTCAGAATATTACTAAATAGAGCATATAACTCACTGACAAACTGTCAAGATTGACAATTAATAAATGTAACTAGATATAAAATACAGGACATTTTAAAAGTTTCTAAAGGCATACTTCTTATGAGATTTTGGTTGAAAGCGGAATTTAATCAAATTTTGGTATGTTGTATATTTCGACCCGCTGAGTGAAAGTTCTCATGGGTACAAACCGATCCTATGACTAATTTCGGATATACAGGGGGTTTTCTAATACTAGGCAACCGCTAAGTACCTATATAAAGTGCGTACATAAAGCACAAAAACTGGCATGTATTGCTTTAAAAGTTGTTTATTTCATCTTTTCTTAACTAAAAATGTTTAGTAGGTGTTCGTAACTCTTCCTTTATATACCAGGGGCGCTCAAAAACTATGGCTATTACTAAGCTAAATGATTTAATGACCAAAAATGTTCAAAAGTGTGAAAAATTGTGTACTTGTAGGTACTCAGGTTAGTCTGTGGATCCAGAGGTTACCCGTAAGCTGTAAAACACAGGGCTGACAATAAATTAGTACAAGACCAAGTGAACGAATTTACATTTAGTTCTATAAAGTCCTTTTTCAAACTAATTTTAAAGTTTTTGAGTTACCTACGTCGGAAATCAATGTCTATAGAGTAGTTGCCTATTTAAAATTTACTCCATAAAAAAATATTACTTGACAAAATTATATTTTCAAGTAACTTTGAAAAATGGTACACCAGCACCTGAATTAATATTAATATAGGGCCTGTCAAAGTTTTTGAACAAGATTTATACCGAAATTCCAGTGCTTCCCAAACAAAACAAAATTATGTGTTAAGTTAGATAATAATTATGTTTCACTTGTAAACAATATGTAATAATAATAATAATAATAAAAGTATAATAATCTATACTCAGCATTAGATGAATATATTGCATTTTAAATAAATACGGAATGTAAATACCTATCTGTAAAATTTATATTTGTTCACAAAATTTCTTGACCACTAAACATTTTGAGAATTTCAGGTAGAACTCGTCCTATCTTTATATTTCGCATGATTCATAGCCATGCCGTGTTTTACGACTTAGGGGTAAACCTGGGTAAACTCTCGGTGCATAGACTATGAAAATTGTTTTTTCATATGTCATATTTTACTTGGTAACCATGGAAACCAAAACAGTAGTGACCCTGTCAGTAAAGCGAATTGTCTTTTTTGTCACCTTTCTTGTGAAAATGGCAATTCGGGAAAGGTAGTGTGCTACGTGCGCAATGAAGGGCTAGAGCAGTGGTTCTCAAACTTATTTTGGCCACCGCCCACTTTAAGAATAAAAATTTGTGTAGCGCCCCCCCCCCCAAAAAACTTTTTAAATATATTACATCTGAGTAAGTGCCAGTTTCTCAATGGGGAGTTACACATTTAACCCTGTAACGACCGTTACTTTATTTTTACCTTTTTCCGGAACTTCCGTATTTTGCATCAGAAATTTGTCGTTGTTTTTCGAGCTTAAATGGTTAAATTATAACGCTATTATCAGTGGATTTATTCTGTCGCGAAAACATTGGTTTTCCCTGTGGAAATAATTTTCCTTTATACCTTAACCGTGCGACTCGACAACGTGTCGAATGAATCTCGCGCGAACCCAGTCCATCTACAGCACCAGACACCACGCGCAACCCCACTCTTGCCTGCCATCGGCCAGGCAGCATCGAAGCAGCTTAGCTCTTGAGACGAGCGGACAGTAAGAATCATTACCGATACCGACCCGAAACCAACCAGTCGAGCCCGAAAACCGATCCCGCTCACCTGGAGTCATTCAGGTGAGACCTACCGACCGCCGCCGCCGTCTTCAGCCGTCCCGACGCCGCTCTTTAAGGATGCAGGTATTACCGTTTGCCCCCGTACCCCGCTAACCAGAACACGGGCTGAATGGTTCCATCTCCGGACCCCGTTTACAGGGTGGAACTATTCTTTCCGTGCCGGGTTGTGAGAATCATCGTGCTGTGCTGCGGTTCCCGCGATGTTTCTCGCTAACCTTATTCGACCTCGTCATCACATGGGCTGAATGGCAACACCACAGCGTCCCGTTTACAGGGTGTAGCTATTCTGCCCGTGTCAGGTTATGGGAACCATCGTGCTGTGTTTCGGTTCCGGCGATGTTTCCCATTGCCTTCTTTTCTCCGTTTAATAAACACGGACTGTATGGCGCCACCACAGCGTCCCGTTTACAGGGTGGAGCCATACCTTCTGTGCCAAGCGGCAGAATCCATCGTGCTGGATCCCGGTTACGGCGATGTATCCTGGCGCTTTTCTCTCTCCGTGTCCGACAAAAAGGTACTTGCATCCTAGCCGAATTCATAACTCGCGCATGCGCTGTATTAGCATGGACAAACGACTTGAAGAGGGCGAGCGTATAATTAAACATGGTTTGTCCGGAGCCTTTTCTCTTTCTCTCTTTCTAATTAAACCGTTACCGTTACTGTTACCGTTACCGCCCGAACTTCTCTATTTCGCAAAGACACCGTAATCCACGCTTTTCTTCGCGCTCACTCGTTACACACTCTACTCCCCTTCTCTTTCTACCTGTCCGATAATTATTATTTAGCCAGAGATGTTATTAATTGGTTGCTCTTGTTTATTCCGTACCGTACCGATTTAAATAGAATAAATTATGGATATTATTATTGTGAACCATCATCATGAGTTTTATTTCTGAACTGACTGCGCATTGACCCCTGGTTTTTCTTTCTCCACTGTAACAAGCTACCTGGTGCCCGTGGACCCTCGACCACGTTAATCCCGAGGGTGGCGCCCGAGAAAACCGATGGAAAATTGACCGAAAAGTATTACCTGACCGATAAGCTTGCCACAGCTGACAAGCACCAAAGAAAACCCGTTACAACCCTAGCTAGGGTAAACGAGAACTATCTCTTTCTAACATTAGGTGAATGACAGAGGCAGTTATCATTGACCCAGGGTTAAAATATAACTCGAAATTGAGAAACCGGCCATAAGTATCTAATAGACAACTCTAATTGAACATAAACAAAAAAAATTGAAAAAAAAATAAAGCCGACTTTAAAAAAATCACTAAATAAGCAAAAAATAATTAATTCTATTACAGATAATTAATATTAAACAAATTATTTACCCTTTCGGAGATGGGACCAACTTGGAAAACTCCAGCACAAAATGAGGCCAGAAATATTGAAATCCTTCCCAAGTGGTTCCCGAGAAATTCGTGAACATACAAAAAAAAAGGTCCACGGCGAATATAGAACCTCTTTTTTTTTATGTCGCAGTTAAAGAGATACGATTTCAGGACATTACGACATTGTCATGACGACGTTTTATTTCTGAGCTTAAATAAGAATGTTTTTTTTTCTCTGAAAGGAATAAATAAAAAAATATACATTTAAAATAGTATATTATATACCTAGGTAGAGAAGTTGGTCCTTATATACCGAGCGCTTTTATAAACCGAGGCGCTCGCGCCGAGGTTTATAATGAGTGAGGTATATAATGACTTATTTCTCTACCGAGGAATATATAGAATTTTTTTTCACTACTGCTAGAAGAAAATGAAAAATTTGTTTAAAATATGTGCTCCAATTATTTTTTTTTGAACGCCCTCTTGAAAGTGCTGCCCTCTATCAACAGCTTATGATAACTTCCTATGTACCTACAGAAACCTGTATTTTTTTTCAAATTGACGTATGAAAATGAAATTGAACCAATAGAAACATGACAATATCCTTGCGTCATGACGTCATTTTCATTATTAACCTAGGTATTTTTTCATTATTTTCATTCCGTGCGTTCGTTATTTTGGTCTGAGTTCTCCGAGCTTGACTTTACCGTTCGTTTATTCAAAAAGTGTACTCGGTGTATCCTCATTCGCGTTCGTTTATTAAAATTTCTGGCACTTTTATACAGCGTTCAACTGCTCTGTTCGCTCGCTGGTCACGTGGTTACGGCTCCGCTCTGCACGCTCTGCTCTTCGAGCAAAATACCGAACGCAAGGATTATTCACCTAGGGAGAGAAATTCAATTTTTTCTAGAAAAATAGATTGAATAATGACAATTTCTCAGGTTAGTAGTAAAAAAATATTTTTATTGATATTTAAAGAAAACTTTGAATGTAACACTTAACACTTAACTAATGTGAGGGATGAATCTGATGCACTTTAACAAGTTTAGCAATATTGGGCTCGAAGT